CTCTCTCTCTGTCAAATAAATAAAATCTTAAAAAAAAAAAAAGTAGCACCCTCATATTCAGAGATATTCAAATACAAAAAATAATGTCAGGACTGATAAAATACAGTAACTGACCAGCTTAACAACAGTTTAAGAAGAAAAATCATGTGATAATCTTTACAGATGCTAAAAAGATATGTGACTAAATTCAACACTCATTCTTTTTTTTTTTTAAGATTTTATTTATTTATTCATGAGAGACAGAGAGAAACAGAGGGAGAAGCAGGCTCCCAAGGAGCGGGAAGCCCGATGCGGGGCTCGATCCTAGGACCCTGGGATCATGACCTGAGCCGAAGGCAGACGCTTAACCATCTGAGCCACCCAGGCGCCCAACACTCATTCTTGATTAAAAAAACTTAATATAATGGGGAAAAAATATATATATATATTTATCATGTTAAAGAAGAACCCATCAATTAAATTAAAAGTTACTTGAAATAGCATTAAACTATAAGGAAAACATGTTTGTCGGAAAACGATCTTGAATTAAGAATCACCTTCATACTTACATGAAGAAAGCCAATGTGGAGAACACGCCACACGTGTGAAAGGCATGGTTCAACTGCTCTGGCTTAGGGTACACCACGGCGGCGTCAATCATTATCCACCAACCTGTAAAAAACTGGCACAAGAGCCCAAGTCATTAAAATAACACTAACAATGGGCTCAGCATGAAGTTACTTGCTCTTTAATATTCCTATATTTCTACAGACCATATAAATGAAACATATTTCTAGTTTGAGTTCTGGATGTGGAAATATAAAAAAAAATAAGAATCCCTTGTTTACTTACTCTTGATAGCATTTGAGGTGAACTTACCTAATCAAATCTGTGTAACATTCTGAAGTTCTGCTCTCAATGCAAGATAAAAAATTTGTTATCTAGAACAAATTATCTGCTTCTTTTGCCCACCATAATTACATGCACTGAAGCTCTCTCTTTTTTAAAAGATTTTATTTATTTGAGAGAGAGAGAGAGGGCACGTGCCCAAGAGCAGGGGGAGGGGCAGAGGGAGAGAGAGAATCTCAAGCCGACTCCTGGCTGAGCACAGAGCCCAACACAGGGCCTGATCTCATGACCCTGAGATCATGACCTGAGCCGAAATCAAGAGTTGGATGCTTAACCGACTGAGCCAGTCAGGCGCCCCTAAAGCTCTCTTAACTAACCTCCAGCTAACCAGCTCCTGATTACCTGATGTGTTTCATTCTCTCCAGAGAACATTCCTTCTTAATACACCCAAGCTCTTCTGCATCCACAAATGAGTTGTATGCTTACCAAGGGTCAGCTGTCATGTCTCCAAAACTATTTAAGCCTGCCATAGTTTTAATCGATTATGTAGTTTGATTAAATAATGTGTAACTGACTGAACATGAGTTTGTAAAATGTCATGTTTCTCTATAAACTAAACTGAAAAGACTTTGAGAAGCTGCTAAAGAATTTCAAGGGCAAATTAAGTGCAGGTGAAATGACCACAAAGAGTAAAAAAAAAAAAAAGTAGAAGCTTCACAATTATCTTTAATTCCTGCTCTGGGTTATTTTTTTTTTTCCTACTGGACTTCAAGTACAGAACTGTATACTGAAAGAGATACATTTTTTAAATGTAATCGATACTGAAATTTGCTTCAGAAACAGGATGATGGACCGCTAACGCAAGACTGGTCGTGATTTGTTTTGAAGCTGGGTTATACGAACATGGGATGAGCAGGGCTCCTTACACTATTCTATTTTTGTTGACTGCATATGCTCCACATGTTTTATAATAAAAAGTTGAAAAAGAAAAAAATGTCCAGAAGAAGATGAAGCAAGAGTTTCCTCCACAGAGTTCTTGGTCTCACTCCCCCTCAGAGCTGCCTCTGGGGATAGGGGGCTGGCATCCCTTCCCTGGAGCACCGCAGGGTTTCAGTTCCAATGCAGCCTTGGGTCCCTACTGCTGTCTACACATCCTGAATCTCGCTGAGTCACAACACTATTGGTTTTCAAGTTCTGAGCCTCTGATGAGCTTACGGGACTTAGACATATTGTATCATTAGCTTAAAAATGCTACTGCTTATGATAATTGTATTATCACTTGAACTGAAGAAAAGATATTAAGCTCAACAAATTTACAAAGTAAAACGAACCCAGGGCCTACCATGTTTTGTTCAGTCATATCTAGAATTCTAATTGTTCATACAAGGTAACGTTGAAATAACCAGTTCTGAAAGGGTATTCATGGTCCAAAGGAATCGACATTAATTTTCAGGGCAAAGCATGAGGCAGCAAGGTCACCGACCAGGCTTTTTCCCTTACCAATATGCCTGCCACCACAGAAGCCACGGCATTTCTTCTCTCACTCCAGTCAATACATTCGCATTCTGGCCAACGGAAATTATCGAGGAAGCCTGCCATTTTCACCCTGTAAGCATGGATTTTTCATTAAACTCTGTATTCTACAAATAAAAAGACAAAAAATAATCACTCTGAGGAAATGTTTTTAAGAAGTGAAATATCTCTTCCTTTCTTAAGGTCTTAAACAGAAATTTGCTTTGGGTCCAAACCTAGAGTTAAGGAGAAAAATTAAATACTTCGATGAATACCTATTGACAGGTACGTAGGACTGTGTTGGGACACAAGGGGGAGCTCATTTACCAAATGAGCCTGCTGCTTTTAAAACACGTCTGCAAATTCCTTGACACTTCCACTTCACTGAGAAATCAATCTATATCCCTCCCCTTGAATTTAGGCCAACAATAAAAACTGGCTGAGCAATAGTAGAGGAAGGGATGCTATGTAACTTCGGCCATACAACTTCTAGGACTAGATAGTAAAAGGCAATGCAGCTTGTAGCTGGTTCTCTGGAACACTGGTACCAGAGTTCTGAGTTGCCATGTAAGAAATCCAAGGTCACAATGCTGTGAGGAGACCACGTGTAAGTGTTCTGGCCCACAGTTCCCAGCCAACAGCTAGCCTCCCGTGCCAGAAGTGTGAGTAGCCATTTCTAGGTGACTGGCGTGCCAGCTACCGCACCCTGTCTGGTACCCAGACTTCCGGCTTTACCCAACGAAGCCCCACATATATGGAGCAGAGACACCATCCCAGCTGTCTGTGCCCTTTACCAATTCCTGACCCACAGTAAACCATAGGCATAATAAAATGGCTGTTTTAACTACTAAGTTTTGGAGTTATCAGGAATGCACCAATCGGTAACTAGAAGGAGAAAAATCATGTGCATAAAGAACTATAAGGGTACAACATGTGAGAATTTTCAAAAAAAGTACATTCAGATGAGGTGATCCAGGAACACCTTAAATTCCAAAAAAACTATTTGAAAGCACTGAAGAGTGCTGAAAAGCAGGCAGAAACTGGAGGGAATTTACCCTTGAAAGAAAACACAATGAGTAAGACCCACTTTTATACAGCTTTTTCCACTGAAGAACCCCCTAGCTTCCCACTCCCAGCCCAGTTGAGTCTCTGTGGTGCATCGTGGCTAAAACTTGAGCAAAAATACCATAGTCTTTTTGGTTTGAGGTATAAGAGGATGGAGTTCAGGATAATTAGAGCAGCCGGGAACTGAGAGAGGAAATCTTGGAAAGGGGTGAGTTACAGGAAGGAGCCCCAAACACTTCAATATAAACTCTCTTTAAATATCTGACTAACCCCCCAAACAGAACACCCATGGAGGAAACTCCAAGAAACTCAGCAGGGAAAAAAAAAGATAGCTGGAAGGCTAAAAGAACTAAGAGTTCCCCTGTGCCCACCGCAAGATATTTTAGAGCTTGAGTTCCACCAAGTCAGAGATCAGTAAACACCTTGGCATTATCCTAATAAGGTGTAAAACCAAGTGTCTATAATTTCAAGGTGATCAGCCAGCATTTCATCCACCTGTTAGAACAAAAACTGACACCCTTCAGATGAAGATAACTGAATTGAGAGTGTCTATAACGTATCATCCACAATGTCTAATATGTAGTAAAAAATTATTAGGCATTCACAGAAGCGGGAACAATGTGATCTATTTTCAAGGAATAAAGAAAAAGAAGTCAATAGAAATAGACCCCAAAATGACTCAGATATTGAAATTAGCAGACAAGGACTTTAAAGCTACCAATATAAACCATTCAAAGACTTAAAGGAACATGGTCCAAATAACTAAACTGATGGAGGATCTCAGCGGACAGACAATTTTTAATGTAAATTTTAAAACTGAAAATTATAATCTTTGAAATTTTAAATTAACTAAATGGGTTTAATAGGAGATTAGAGACAGGAGTAGAAAAGGGTAGTAAACTTGAAGAAAGATCAAAGGAAATTATCCAGTCTAAAGAACAGGGTTTTGTTTTTTTTTTAAGGGATATTTTTTTCTGAGGAATAAAAATGAACAGAGCCTTGGTGAACTAAGGATCACTAGTAACTGATCCAATATATGTTTAACTGGGTCCCAGAAAAAGACAGAATGAGGAAAAAAAAATATCTGAAGAAATAAGGGCCAATAATTTCCCAAGTTTGGTGATAAATATTAATTTACAAATCCAGGAAGCTCAGCAAACTCCAAAGAGGTTAAACAGAGAAAACATCATAATCAAATTGCTGAAAATCAGAAATAAAAGAAACACTTGACATAGTTTTAGGGGGAAAAAATCAACTTATCATAATGACTGACTTCTCAACAGAGGCCAGGATAGTGAGAAGAATTTCTTTAAGTGCCTTTTTTTTTTTTTAAGTAATCAATCCCAGTATCCAGTGAAAATATTCTTCGGAAGAGAGCATGATAGGGGCGCCTGGGTGGCTCAGTCAGTTAAGCATCCAACTCTTGATTTCAACTCAGGTCATGATCTCAGAGTCATGAGATCAGGCCCCTGAGCTAAGCAAGGAGCCTGCTTAAGATTCTCTCCCTCTGCTCCTCCCCCCGCAGCTAGTGCACTCTCTCTTTCTCTCTCAAAATAAATATTTTTTAAAAGGGAGCATGACAGTCATTCTACTACCTATCTACCCAAGAGAAATAAAAAGACACACGTACACAAAAACTTGAACACAGATGTTGACAGCAGCATTAGTCACACTAGCCAAGAAGTAGAGCAATCCAACATATATCAACTGATGAACGGATACATAAAATGTGGCATATCATTCAATGGAATACAGATTCAGTGATAAAAGGGAATGAAGTACTGACACATGCCACAACAGAGAGGAATCTCAGACACATTATGCTAAGTGAAAGACATGAGACCACATCTTGTATGATTCCATTTATGTGAAATGTCCAGATGAGGCAAATCTATAGACAGAAAATAAATGTGTGGTTGCCTAGTGACAGTGGGGGAGAGTGGAATAGGGAGTCACTGCTAATGGGTACAAGGTTCTAAAATTAGACTGTGGTCAGACCATCATAGGCGAAGGGAAGAGAGAGATAGATCAAGAAATAGACTCTTAACTACAGAGAACAAACTGATGGTCACCAGAGGAGAGGTGGGTGGGGGGAAAGGTGAAATAAGTGATGGGGATTACGGAGGGCACTTGTCTTGATGAGCACTGGATGTTGTATGGAAGTGTTGAGTCACTAAATTGTACACCTGAAACTAATAGTACACTGTATGTTAAAGAAAGAATATAAATAAAAACTTAAAAAAAGAAAATAAGATTGTGGTGATGATTGCACAACCCTAAATATACTAAGAAAACATTGAATTGTACACTTAAAATAGGTGAATGTTATCATATGTACATCTCAATAAAGTTTTTTTATAAAAATGAGGATAAAATAAAAATATTTTCAGGTAAACAAAACTGAGATAATTCATTACTAGATCTGCACTAAAAATAATGCTAAAGGAAATTCTTCAGGCTGAAGGGAAATGACACCAGACGAATCTCAGATCTGCAGGGAGAAATGCAGAAAACCAGAAATGATCAATATGTGGGTAAACAGACAATCTTTTCTTCTTTTACTTAAAAGATAACTATGTAAAGCAAAAATTAGAACTGTATAGCATGTCCACAAAGATGAACTTATTTCTAAACAGTATGTTGTATCTTCGAATAATATGCTTAAATATGGATTCAGGTGAAATACCTCTAAATTTAATGTGTCCAATTATTCCGAAAAATAAATACAATTTATTACAATAAATTATACATTATAATTTATTATAAATACAATATATTATAGAAGGTCCAAACACTGGAAACATAGGCTGGGAGACGATATTTGCAAAACAAATATCTGACAAAGGATTTGGATCTATAATACAGAAAGAACTAAACATTAGTAATAACAAGATAAAATATAGGCAATAAAAAGTACGTAAGACCTGGGCGCCTGGGTGGCTCAGTTGGTTAAGCAACTGCCTTCAGCTCAGGTCATGATCCCGGGGTCCTGGGATCGAGTTCCTCATCGGGCTCCCCTTGCTCTGCGGGGAGCCTGCTTCTCCCTCTGCCTCTGCCTGCCACTCCCCCTGCTGTGAGCTCGCTCTCTCTTTCTGTCAAATAAATAAATAAAATCTTATAAAAAAAAGTACAGAAGACTTGAGCAAACTTGAACTAGGCAAAAGACTTAAAAAGACAATGACAAGAAGCACATAAAAAGGTATTCAACATTGTCAGGCATCAGGGAAGTGCAAATTAATGAAATATAACATCTCACATCCACTAGAACAGCTAAAATTTAAAAGATTGACAACTCTAAATGTGGGTGAGGTTGTAGAACAAGTGGAAATCTCATATATTTCTGGTGGCAGTTTCTTATAAAGTTAAAAATAAACCTCCCTATAACCCAGCAATTCTATTCCTAGGTATTTGCCAAGGGAAGTAAAAACACAATCTAAATGCTCATCAACAGATGGATGGATAAACAAGTTATGATCGAGGGGTGCCTGGGTGGCTCAGTTGGTTAAGCATCTGCCTTCAGCTCAGGTCATGATCCCGGGATCCTGGAATCAAGCCCTGCATCGGGCTCCCTACTCAGCGGGAAGCCTGCTTCTCCCTCTCCCTCTGCTCCACCCCCACCCCTGCTTATGCTCTCTATCTCTTGCTCTCTCTCAAATAAATAAAATCTTTAAAAACAAAAAACAAGTTATGATTGATTCATACAATGGAATACTGTTCCGCAAGAAAAAAGGATGAACTGATATCTACAACCACACAGAAAAAAAAAAGTAAGCCCTCAAAGACATGATTTAAGTGAAAGAAGGCGGACACAAAAGAGTACATGCTGGGGGCACCTGGGTGCTCAGTTAAGCATCTGCCTTCAGCTCAGGTCATGATCCCGGGATCCTGGGATCAAGCCCCGTATGGGGCTCCCTGCTCAGCGGAAGCCTGCTTCTCCCTCTCCCACTCCCCCTGTGTGCGTGCGTGTGTGTGTGTGTCACTCTCCCTGTCAAAAAAAAATAAATAAAATCTTAAAAAAAAAAGTGTATGCTGTATAATTCCATTTAAATGCAGCTTAAGAAGAAGTAAAATTAGTCGACAGTCTCAGAAATCAGAACAGTGCTTGCCTACAGGGGGTAAGGACTGACTACAAGGGAACTTTTGGGGGGGGGCAGTGACGGAAATGTTCTATATCTTAACTGGGATAATGGTTATACAGGTACATACATTACCAAAAGTCACTGAAGTGTACACTTGAGACCTGTGTATTTTACAGTATGTAAATTTTACTCACAAAATGTTTTTAGAAGTTTATCATTCAGGTATGCTTTAGCTACACTGAAGTCCTGCACATTTTATCACTAATCTGCAGATATAATAATGAATTATCATCAACGATTAAATATTAACTGGTTAATAGGAAGGGAAGGTCACCATGAATTTAAGACAATGTCTGAAGTTAAGTCTTATTTCCAATTATAAAATTCATTTCCCATATATTAACCTAATTATAAATAGTTCTAAAGTAGAAAATATATAGCTATTTGCATACAATGATTTCTGAAATGTCATGATCTCCTCTCTTCTGGGGCTTAAACTGGAGGGTCAGGGATGGAGTGAGGCAGAGAAACATTGAAGTAATACAAATAATTACTATGGAGGAAACGTGCAGGATCCTAACAGGGAATAAAGGGGAGACCTGTTTTAGAAAGGGTGATTGGGGGGCGCCTGGGTGGCTCAGATGGTTAAGCGTCTGCCTTTGGTTTGGGTCGTGATCCCCACATCGGGCTCCTGGCTCTGCAGGGAGCCTGCTTCTCCCTCTGCCTCTCCCTCCTGCTCGTGCTCTCTCTATATCTCTGTGTCTCGAATGAATAAAAATCTTTAAAAAAAAAAAAAAAGGGTGATTGGGGAAAGCCTCTATGAAGAGGTAACTTACACTTGCTAAAATCTTAAAACATACTAAAATTTAAAAGCTGAGTAAAGTTAATCGAAGCAACAAAAGAGATTGAGGAGGGCAAGGGAAAATTATATACAAAGCCCCTAGGTCCCTTTGGTACCAGCAAGGAAGAATTAGCTGGTACCAAAGAGATTCAGGACACAGTAAGTTAGTGGAGCAGGTTGGCTTGGAATAAGTTTGGAGAGCGACAGATAAGGCTGGATCACAGATTAACCCTGACCTCGTGAAGGATTTGGGTTTCACAGCCCTAACAGGAAACCAGACGAAGAGCTTTAAGGTGAAAAGGAGCCAAGGCCACCAGGAGCCCAGTCGCTATGGTAAACATTTAGGAGAGGAAAGGGAGGGAGAAGGCTAGTCTATTAAGAACGAACCCTCTCAAGTGGGAAGAATGCCTTTCACAGGAGTTTTATTGTTGATAGTCACCAAAAGATAAGCATATTTTATCATGACACCATGTTGATTTAACATAAACTGACAATACTCCGAACACTGGCTCCCTGGCTTAAAGTGGAAACAAGTACACAATACTTAATACAAGATAACAAGCCTTTGGAGACTCAATGAAGGCAAAGACTACTCGGAGAAAACCTAAATGTTCAATGATAGAATAAATAGTTCAGTAAAATAGTTTACTTAATGCAAACGTTAAAAATCTATTTCTGAAAAACATTTAATGGCACAAGTAAATGGTAATGGTTAATACTACGTGAAAAAAGTAGGTTATTAAAACTGTATGTATAGCATTATTTCCTTTTTCGAAAAAAGAACTACCAATCTACATATAAAAACACATACATAAGTAGAAATACCAGAAGAACAAACACCAATACTTTTATAATATTATTATATATATGGGTGATAGGATCGCTTGTTTGTTTTGTTTTTTGTCTATTTTCAAAGTTTGCGGCTCTTAGCATGAATTACTTTTTAAATACCGAAATTTCGAAAGTTTCAAAAGTTATTATAATTAACATAATGAAGTGCTGATTCTTCTTGCCTGTTGAGAAACTTCTTTGTACAATGTAATATGTCTGTAACTGCTTTTAATAAACTCAGGACTTTTTTGAGGTCAAGCAAATTATTGGTAGGTTCTCCCACAAAACTGACCCTGGTACCAAGTGAAAACAAAACAAAACAAAACATAATTAGTGAACTGAACTAATGGATTACTGGTCCAACCCACAAGTCTTGTAATATATTAGATAGCAATTATTCCCATTACTAAGAGAGGCAACTCTTTATAAAAGGGAATAGGAATCATTTTCAGAGGGCATTTTAAATGATTCAACTGTCAAAATTTCATTTCCAAAAACTCAGTTTAGGAAACCCAAGGACACTTGCAAAAGCAAGAGGAGAAAACAACTACACACTTCAACATACAAACACAGTCTGAGAAATTTCTGTATGCATCAAAGTCCCAAATAACATCTAATTCAGAAATGTTCCCATTAATCAAATTTCTGCACTACCATCTGTCTGTTCTGCCATCTCTCCACTAGTTGTTAAATGCTACTAGTGTGAGGCACTGAGTATATAAAAACGATTAAGGCAATCAATGTAGAGAATAGTCTAGTTAGGAACATTGTCAGAACATTGTAATTGCATTGCAATATGGGCCATAACACACATACATTATGAGCTGTACTGTAAAAGTGCTACAACAGAAATGTGAAATAAAGTGTCAAAGGACAGTATTTGCCAGGAAGAGCCGAGGGAAGTTTGACAGAGGAAGAGCAAACTTAGCTGGGTTTTGAAGCATGAATAAGAGTCTGGCAGATGAAAAAGAAGGAAGAAAATTCTGGGCTTGTAAGTAGGGAAATGACAAGATCATCTCTGTAATTTAGGAAGATAATGCTGGCAGCAACTGTGTGGAGGAGGGACTGAAGAGAAATGTTAGCCACCTGCCCTCATTCCAGACAGGGGGGGAATGAGGATGCACACGGAAGCCACACCGGTACAAGCCAAAGAAAGGGTTTTTATTTGAGGACTACCAAAGGGGCATTATCAATAGGAAGGGAGAAGCTAAGAATGACAATGGCTGGATGCCTGGTGCATGGTGAGACACCATTAGCCAAAACAGGAAAGGGAGAATGGAAGAGGAGAATCTGAGCATAAGGTATTTGAAAGGACTAAAGAATATTCAGGTAGAAAATACCTAAGACAGATGTACAAGAACCACTGAAAGAGTGGCTTAAGACAGAAATACAGATTAGAAGCTCACAGTAATTCAGTGGTAACTGAAGTCACAGGGCAGTTAAGGTATCTCAGGAGAAGATGTGGAGGAGGACTGAAGACTGATTCAGTGTTTGTCTCTGACTGCTGTCCTTTCTGCCTTGAATTACTGTATGCAGGCACTAGAGCAGACCTATGGATATGATGGCACTGAATCAGCCCAAAACTCTAGAGCATGTACTGAATATTTACAGAACACCTCCTACGAGCAAGGCAGGGTGGGGAAAATAAAGATGAATAAAACAGCCCTCATCATCAGATTTATAAACTAGCAGAGAAATCAATTAGCATTTTGTTACATTAAATTATAATTTGTATCATTAAAAAATCCATTACAAAAAAAACAGGTTAACAAAATAAAAAACAAAATATAAATACCATTCAAGATCCTACGTCTACATAGCCAGAGCAGAACAAGTTGACTTAAATGAAACAAAAATAAAACCTCTGTCTTCCCCACTCTTAGTAGTACTACTATTAGTTACAGGATGTGTACGGGTGTTACGCTCTTTACAGACCACTCCAGTCCATCCTCAGAAAAACCCTGTTCACGGGACTATTGCCTTCAATCCTCACAAATGCTCTAAGGCAGTCCCTAATATTATCTCCTATTACTGAAAAGGTTTAGAGAATGGTTAACACCGCTAGCAAGGAGGAAAGTTGGGATCGCCAGTGAAGTTCCTTCAGATCTATTCCAAAATTCTGTGCTTATGACCATTACAACACTATACTGCCACCCATCATCAGAGACATTCACCGTATTTCCCCCACTTC